GTGTGGCAGAAAGGGGGCGGAGAGGGGCGCCAGGGAGGCGGGTCTGCTGCCCTCCACACAATGCAATATATTTTCGCTTTGGCATTTGTTGCGTTTTGGCAGCATTTTGTGTTGACTTTTTTTTTTTTTTTTATTGTTTTTTGTTTATTTGTTTGGATTTCCGCTGCCTCACAAAAATCTTTTTTTTGCGGTTTTTTTGTGCATTGCATGATTGACAGTTGCCGGGCATTGATGGAGGCTTAGAGTGGCGGTGGCGGGGTTTACCGCCCCCCAGCCAGCAATACCTAAATGCATTCAGTCAAAAGTTGTGCGAAAGCCTCCGAATAAAAATATTAAAAAATATATGTGTATCTCCGACATTTATATACAAACATAAACAAATCCTTGTGTATATGAACAGTGGCGGTGAAAATAATAGAGCGCCAAATTGTAACCCTTTTATTAAATAAAAAAGTATTTTCAACTATCAAAAATGAGAGCTTAATTTGAATTTGCAAAAATATTTTTTAATCTAAAAAGTTGCTTAGTTTAAGAAATTAAATTAAAATAAATTTGATTTGTTTCAGTTTTTTTAATTATTGTTACAAAAAAAAAATACGTTTTATTAAACATGTATTTAGAAAGAAGTATCTATATGAGAACAAAATATTTTTAAATATTTTATTGCCACATTCATCAGGAGTCCTATTTTCCCCCCCCTGGCTGTTCGAGCGTTCATATTACGCATACGCAATGTAGACGGCAAACAAACAACCCAAATGCTGACAAGGGCAGGTGGTGCTGGGGCTTGGGGGATGGCAGGGGCTGTCAGGGGCTGTCAGGGGGTTAAGGGGCTCGAAAGGGGTTGGAAAAGGGGGAGGGGCTGCGACGGGAAGGACGAAGACTCATAAAATGCAAGCACAGCAGCGGTGGCGGCGACATTTGAGAGGGCCAGCCTAAAGGTATGCTATGAAAAAATTGCATAAGAGCAGCTCGAAAAACGAGGGGCAAAAAAACAAGAACGCATTTGTTTCAAAATTAAATACTCGTATGTGTTTGTGTGTGTGTAGAAAAGAAAGCAAAAAGAAAAAGAAAGCAAAAGTTGTTGGTTTTGTGCGTTGATTTTTGTTTTGGTTTTGTTGCACTGCAGCTCCCCTCGTTATAATCATTTCCCCCATCCGCTGGCAAGTCAAAAATGCGGAGAAAGAAAGAACGGAGAAAGGAGTGCAAGGCAAAAAAAAAGAAAGTGTAAAAGCAAAAGTATTTATTATGCGGCAATGGTTTGGAGAGGCCTACAAGAGGCCTGCAAAACATCAGAGTCAACGAATTGCAGCACACATACACACAAAGTCGCATATCTACACAACAAAATATAATTTATTTTGTACATTAAGCTTTTTAAATCATTTTCAAAATTTTCAAATTGTACTTTAAGTACCCAATCGAATGGCGTTCCCAGTTAAAATTTTTTTCATATTTTAAAATTTTGGAAAAAATGATGACCCCCACCCTTATAAAAAATGCAAAAATTTGACAAAAAGTGTATTTTTCAAAAAATCGGTTTTTGAAAATCGCTCTTTGCATCAAAACAAAATTTATATTTATAAACCGTTTGTGGATGGGTAGTATAGGTTGCAAGCTATACAAAACAGTCATTTTTATGCCTGATAATATTTATATAACAACTGAAATATACAGTTTAAAAAATTGCTTATAAAAAAATAAAACATTATAATTGACGCTATAGAATAAAACTAGAAAAATTTTACATATTTTAGACCTGACAGTAAATTAGCAAATCAAATATTAAATTAGCGTTCTGAAATTCCAATATTTTGATTGTTTTTCCTTTAAAATAATTTGCAGCTGGACAGTTTTTTAAATGTTCCTTTTCCAGGACTTTTATAAAAATGCGTTCTGTGCAACACACACAGATACACTCACTCGCACACACACAAGTCAACGTCCGACTGCAGAGTCGCACTTTTTTGTTGCCTCCTTTTGGGCTTTCTTTTTCCCAAGCTTTCTTTTTTAGATAAATTTTTATTTGAATTTATGCATGTGCGTCTCCCCGAGAGAAAGGGACCGAGATGTGGAGAATAGGAGGGAAAAGTGGAAGGTGAGGGGCTGCTGGATTCGTTGGAGTTGCATATACATATATAATGAACACCATGTAAATGCTCTAGACTCCCTAAAAAGTTTTAGGTTGCATTCATTTCACGAAGTTATTGGAACAAGGGACCTTTTGTCTGACAATGCACACAAGTTTTTTAAACAAAAAAACAAAAAGCAATTACTAAATTGTTTGAGGTAGGTATGCCTAAATACTTTTCAAAATAAATATAACTATTTTCTTGACGAATTTCTTCTTGAAATTACTTACTTTAAGCCAAAGTGTATGAAACAATAATGGAATTATTTTAAAAATGTGGCTTTATAAAACGTCATCTATTATAGTCTTAATATGAAATATAATTCCGCTCTCATCACTTTTTGACAATGAACTTTTAAAATCCTTAAACCTTAATTTGTAATGCATCACGAGATCGTAACCTTTGGCAAGTCAACACTGTGCGACTTGCATTTTAATTTTCAAGTTTTTTTTAGGCGCTTTTGGGTTTTTTGACAAGATTTCCGGTGGCTTGGCCCATCTGGGGCTTGTCATCCCGCTTTTGTCACCCCGAACTTCCCCCTTGAAATCGTCAAGCGTTGCAACAAAGTGCGTTATGCACATATATATATATATATGTATACATATAATTTTTTTGCTGGCATTTTCCACTGCAGTGATGTATGTAGGAAAAGCGGGTAGAAGAGGCTAGGAAACATAAGAAAAACGACAGTGGCTACTCGTGTTCCTTTTGCTTTCATTCTCCCACTTTTTTTTTTGTTCACATTTTTTCGCGTTTATCCCGGTTGACGAAAATTTTTCGCTTAAAAAGAATGAGAAGACGACGGTGGTGGAGGTGGAGGCGGTGGGAAATGTAATGTGAAAATATATTTGCCGGAAGCTAAATGTTTTGCCAGGCGAGTACAGTTGTGCTTGCCATGCGCCCAAAAGTATGCATTACATTCACTTTGAATGCAAGCCAAAATTAGTGGAGACAACCGACGAAGAAGAAGAAGAAGGAGGAGGCGCAGAATGCCTTGTTCGCACTGGGGAAAAAAATAAATTGAATATCGAGCCACCCACAGTCCAAGCCATTTCTTAGTTTGTTTTTCACTCCTCATTGTTTGTCCTGTTGCAACATGCGACAATTTTTCTCATTGTTTGATTTGAATATTTGATTTGGGTTTTATTTTATTTATTTAGCAGTCTCAAATAATAAATGTGCGGACATGAAAAAACTGCCGAGTAGGACTCTAAGCGACAAGTGTATACACTGCATAGTAAACTATTTATTTTCTTCTATCAATTTGTCAAAACTCAAGCTCTGGGGTCTTTGAGACAGTCATTTTCTAACGATAAAATTCAATTAATATGGCTCAGTGCACATTAAAGTACTTAAGCTTTCGAGATGTTTAAGAAAATGTTTCCTTAATAAACGTTTTGATTCATACAAACGTTAAGATGAAAAAATGAATTCAGGAATTTTAATAAAAATGCATCTTAGACGATTTTGACTTTAAAACTCTGCTTCTGGCTTTCTTCCCCCAAACTCAATGATAGAGCAATTCCCTCGTCGAATACAATTTTTTGTCATTTTGTCGAGAAGGTTTGGACAATGCCACCTCTCTTGACAGCCATATTGAAAATTATAGTGTCGTAAACATGCAACTGCAACAACAGCAAAAGCATTGGCGGCAAATAAAAAATTAAATTAAAATAGAAGAAGGAAACGAAATGGATGGGATGGGCGGATGAAGGACCTCGAACAGAACATGGCCAGTAAATAAATAATACAAACAAAAAATTCCAGAGGTGTTGGTTGGGGGAAAAAGGGGGGGGCTCAAAATTGCAAACGGAAATTGCCGACAATGTGTGGCAAGTGAAAAGTGGATGTGGCCCACAAAAAAAAGCGATAAAAAGTCAACTACCATCGAAATAAAACCAAACACAAAATTCTATCAACTGTGCAAAAACTTATGGCATAGAGTGTTTTAGATGTGTTTGTGTGGGTGTGTGGGAAAATTACAAAGAGATATTTACACATAGATATACGACAACAACAACATAGATTACATACACATAGATTTGATTAACTAACAAAATTACACAGACACTTATCGATAGACATTGAGAGAGATAGAGTGTGTGAAAGAGTTAGCTAGCTAGAGGTAGAGAGAGACAGATATATATATATATAGAGAGAGAGAGAGAGCGCTACACATTTAACAAAATATATATATACTATATAGAGCTAGGAAACTGAACAACTAACATTTGAAATTGCTTTATTTTCAAATTACTTTTAAGGATTTTGTTTTCAACTGAATACAATAAAGAAAAACTTTACTTTCTTAGGTTGGGAAAAACTTGATATGTATATAGGGCATAGATAAAGAGGGATAAGATATATATATATTTATATAGATATATATGTATGGGTATATATATATGTATAAAAAATTCATAGACAAAGAACACGACGAAGAGCAAAAATATATGTTGAGTTTTGGTTTTGTTTTCTTTTTGCATTTGTTTTTTGGATTTTGTATTTTGTTTTTTTTTGGTAATTAAATATATAAATATGGCATATAGATGTATATTATAAGAACAGACAGAGAGAGAGAGCAATACTTAAGATAGAGATATACATATAGAAATGGAGTCGGATCGAGCCAGATTGGGATCAGATAGATCTTCATTGCGAGACGCATCTCAAAATTCGTTATATTTTTTGTTTTTTTTTTTTTTTTTGTAAATTAACCTATCGAAGCAGCAAAAGCATTCACTGAAAGGGATCTCCTGGGACTGGAGTTTCTTTTCGAATTTTGGCAGGGGTGTTTCTCGAATCGGTTTTTAAGGGGTTGGGGAGGGGGGTCGGTGGGTCAAAAGTATCACCAAAGTGCAGACTTACCGACTCGTGGGAGGCGCGGTAGTCAAGGTCGCCGCCCAGGCCGCCGCCAGCTGATGCCGAACGCTGTTGCATGTGTCTGCTGTGACTGCTGTTGTCGTCCTCACTGCAATCGATTTCCTTCTTGAGGCTCTGCGAATGGAACATATAGTATAGCAGTATTATTACAATACACTTGATTAGCATTAATTAAAAAAAAAAAAGAAACATCTTCATTTGGGATCTCATGAGTTATAAAAAACAATTTTTTTTTTAATTTGATTTTATAATCAATTTTGTTTTCTGTGTAAAAATGAACTCTTACCAATGGCACCGATTGCACGGGCAGGAGATTGGCCACCGTTCCGGGACTGAGCAGGCTGGACGAAGAGGCTCCGCCGCGGTTATCGTTGCCGCCGCCGTCACGGGAACTCCGGGACGCCGGTCGACCGCCGGAGCCTCCAATACTGAGGTCCGATGCGCCCGCTCCTCCCGCTCCCGTTCCCGATCCCGCTCCTTGTGCCGGCGTTGAGCGCTGCGATTCCATGGCCGCTGCTGCTGCCGCCGCTGCTGCTGCTGCCGCCGATGACGATGGCAGAGTTATCAGGGGCGAGGGTATCAGGGTGGAGCCGGTGGACAGGTCCACGCCCCCACCGCCACTGCCGCCCACTTTCATATTGAGCCCCAGATCGTTGCTGCTGTTGTCCGCCTCATCATCATCATCCAGATCCATCTCGTCATCGTAGTCATCATCGAGAATCTCGGTCTTGGCAATCACGGGCATGGCGTCCTCCTCATCCGAATGCGGATGGTGGGCGTGGTGCGGCGGATGCGTATGCGTATGCGGATGGTGGTGCTGCGGATGATGGTGGTGTTGCGAATGCGAGTGTGGATGGTGATGCAGATGCGGGTGCGGATGCGGATGCAACCGGTTGAAACTATGGTGGGCCAATCGCTGGGCAATGCAACTGGCCATTGTTGTAGCACTGGCACTGCCCACCACAACCACATCATCGTCATCCTGATCCTCGTCCTCCTCGTCGGCGGCTTCCTGCTCCAGGCGATCATCCACCTGTCGCTGGTCAGCACCAATGTCATCGTCGTCATCATCGTCCACTGCAACCACAGAATCTGCATTTCCACTGGCGGAGTTGGCTGTACCGCCATTGCTGCTGGCTGATGTTGTTGTTGTTTTCCCACTACTAGTGTTGTTGTTGTTGTTGCTGCTGCTGGAGTTGTTGTTATTGTTATTGTTGTTATTATTATTGTTGTTGTTGCAGGTGTTGCTGCTGCTACCGCTGAGGTTGTTGTTGCCGCCCTGCTGCGTTGTTGCTGCAGGTGCCGCTGCTGCTGCGCTTTTTGGGTCGACATTAGGTCTTTGATAGAGATCCAGCGGCATGGGCGTATCCTCCTCCTCATCTTCGTCCTCCTCATCTTCATCCTGTTGCCGCATCGCCGCTGCCGCTGCCGACGCCGCCGCCACCTCCTCGTTCTCATCCAGCTCATCCACCTCCTCGACAGCGTCATCATCATCCTCGTCGTCGTTCAAGTTGCGAGTTCTTGCGAGCAACTCCTCCGCGAGCAATTCATCCGTCGGCTTTTGCTCCCGGTCCGCCAACAACTCATCCTTCTTGTCCACCGGATGCAATCGCGACGAGCGTTTGGCGGGCGTGGGACTGCAGCGATCGCTGGCCTCCCGCTTCACGGCAATGCCGCCGCTCGGCGATGACGATGATGTTGCCTCTTCCGTTGCAGATGTTGCCGCTGTCAGCGAGGATGTTGCTGCCGTGGATGTTGCTGCTGTCACACAGGTTGCTGTTGTGGTTGCCGCCGTTGTGGTTGTACTACTGCCGCTGCCGCTGCCGCTGCCGCTGCTCCCCGTTGTTGCCGCAGATGTTGCTGCTGTCGCTGCTGCTGCTGCCATTGCTGTTGCCGCCGCAGTTGTTGCTGATGTTGAGGTCGATGTTGCCGTCGCCGCTGACGCCGCCGCTGCCGTGGCAGCAGCCGTTGCCGCCTGTGTTGCCGCTGTGGCATCCAAAGCGGCCGCCGGACTGTCCGCCGACTTGTGGGCGGACCCGCCGCTACCGCCTCCGCCCTGCGGACGCAAGCGGTCTGGCTCCCGCTCCGGTTCGCGCAGCGTCGTGTTCTGGTTCGTCATCTCGGCGAGGCCCTTGACCTGCAAAATATTCAATAATTAATAAAGAAAACGAAATAATTTAAAAAGAAAAAATCTAAAAATCAAGATATATGGACTACATTTCCTTACATTAAATATTAAAGTTATCAGGTAGTAATATTTATTTAATATGATATATTTTTGAAAAAAGTGGGTTTAAAAGATGTTTACTTTGAGATGATTTATCCATGTGGGTCTAAGCCAGATTTTTATAACCGGAGCACGATCTAACTTTAAAATTGTAAAAATATTTACACATTTTTGACACACACTCAAGATGACAATATTTATTAATGTACCGCCTTAAAAAAATTTATTTATGTCGTGTAAATTATTATTTTTTTGGGTCTTTGCTAAACTAGACTTTAATAAACGAGGAATAATCCTAAAAACCAAGCAAACGTTTAGCCTAGTTATATCCGTTTAAACAAAAAAAAAGTTATAATAATTGGCAACACTGGTTAGGGCACTATTCGGAATGGGTGACAACCCACCTTGAGGGATTCGGCTGTCTTGAGCAGCGCGGACAACTGACAGTATTGCACGTTCACCTCGCCCTTGTACATGAATTCAACTAAGGTTTGCAGCTCGGCAAAACGGACGTCCTTCAATATCACAATTGGATGTCTTTCGGGATGCTCCAGGAACAGGCTCTGGAAGTACGAGGAACAAGCCGAGAGGACCACCTGAAATGGACCACAAAAACACTCAAGTGATTAGTCATGAAATAATACTAAGTACTCAACATTAAAGATAAAGTTTATTAAATATAATGTTAAACCTTAATGAAGTTAAAGAGTTGAAGATAAAAGTGTATACCAAATTATAATAGTTTAATCTTATTCAAATTACTATATCATTTACAAATATTACTGAATTTTATTTCTACCCCTACTTTTAGTTTTCTAACCAAATCCTTTCCGAGAAATCTTTAAAAACCGGAGCACTCTTGCTTAAGTGTTAAGTATTTAAAAAAAATGTATTTTTTTTTTAATTTAGCTTTTTATCAGTCCATCATCTATGCACTCCGCCGAAGGAAAGGCACATTTTCTACGCTTCTTTTGCCCCCTTAAGCTCTGCGATGCTGCGGCAAGCATTTATTAGATTTACGATCTGGCTCTCAAACGCAGCCACAAATGCCGCTTTTGAAGATGCCACAAACGAGCGATCCGGAAAACGGTGGAGCAGCGGGGGAAACGAGGGGGAAAAAAGGAGCGCTACGATGGGCGATTCAGTTGGAGTTCAATTTGGAGTCCAGTTCTTTTTTTTTTTTTTTTGCCAGTTGGCTGCGGGCGTCAAGGCGTGAACATGCCACGAATGACAATGCCACAGCATCTGCAGCAGCAGCAGCAGCAACATCAGCCACTAGCAACTTGCAACTTGCAACTCGCAACTGGCAACCAGTTCCGATCCGTTTCAGCATTGCTGTCGATTTTTATGTGCGCATGCACGCCTTGGGGTATGCAATGAACGGCCGATATATATCCCCACCAGATCGGCCGAATTATAGGTGATTTCGGGGGGTTGTGCAGCGAAGTGGAGTGAAGGAGCCGACTGTGTCCAGCCATGTTGTAAATTTTCATTGCTGGCAAATTGAAAAGGCGTCGGCCTCCATTTCGCATATAGATTTCGCTATAGCCTAATGAGGTTTTGGCCTAAGACTGCAGTAACCTCAGTCACAGCGATGTCGGCGTGAGGAAAGTCACGAGGATATGGGATGTCTCCAGTTTGGTTCATTGACAAATTATTTTATTTTTGGCAACAATACTCATACCATTTTATAAGTAAGCCTGCAAACCCGTGAAATTAATATTATCAGTTAATATTTGTAGTTCTGGTATTATAATTATGAGTGATAACTTTTATTTTTGGCAATATGTATGAATAGCTTAATCGTTTAAGATGCATACCAAAAAAAATTGTTCTCAACTGACTGTTTTTTTATTTGCTTTTTTAAAACATTTTTTTGAATACGAATAATTTTTCTTTGCCTTTTTAAGAAGCTCAAAACCTTGTGAAAATAATAACATTCCACTGCCATCTCTGGCACTTGCTCCTTTTCCTCCCGCCACCCATGCCGCCCCCTTTGCCACCTCCTGTGCACCACCCCCTCCGCAGCGCCTCCTGTCACGCGCCGTTTGCGCTAGAATTTATTTAAAAAAATGCAATCGGCCTGCACACGCCCCCGAATCGCAACAACAGCGCAAAATGAGCGTTAATAAATTCACGCGCATATTAGAAGTCACGGGCGTGCGGCGTGGGGGGGTGGTGGGGGGTTTGGTTCGGGATAGTAGTCCTGGGTCCAGGTCCAGGTCCAGTCTTCGCAGTCTCGAAACTCTTTCAGTGGCATTAAGAAAATCGAATTTCCTGATTACAAGAGGGGCTTGGCCAAAAACGTGGGGGTTGGGAGGGGTGAGAGGAAAAGGTGGCCAAAAGGGGGGAAAGGCGTCGCAAATTGGCAACACTTTTAATTGAACGTCGCTGCCGGTGAGGGAAAAAGAAGAAAAGCTAGAGCGGGGAAATAACGCCCCCAAAGCTAATGAACGCCAAAGGCTTTGATTTCTAACGCCACTGCCCAGTTAGTAAACATTTTTACCTCTCTTCCTATATTATAAAAAAAAAACTGAAAAAAAAATGAACTAAAAAAACGTTGCATGTAATTTGCGGAAAAACAGTCAACAACATAAATTTTCTGAACGATTGAGAGGGGGCAGAGATCGCCAGAAAGAGGTGGCAAGATCGCATGTCCCAAGTGGGCGTCCACCTTTCCAACCAAAATTTAAACAGCAGCTTCAGTATATAAAAAAAAAAAAAATTAAACTAAATGAACGGAGAAATATCTCCCATTTTGGTCAGTAAAAAAAAAGTTATATTCCAATTACACATGCGTATAAATCAAGCGAAACGGGGAGGGGAATATCGAGTGGGCGCCAAGGAATTGACTTTCTTGGCTGAAAAGCAGGGCGTTATCTCTGTCATTCTTATCGCGATCTGAAGATCTCTTTCACTCTTGGTCACTTTTCCAGCTGATCCCGTTTACCTCCTCCGATTTTATAGATACACTTATAGACTATCGCTTATGTATGTCTTCTTTTAGCACGCCACCTGCTAATTTAAATATTTTTTTCAGCTTTGACTACCTTTTTGCATTACCCAAGTTACCCAATTTTATTTAACGGAATTTCCAATTTATCTCATTTTCAACCTCCGATTTTATAGATACATGTTTGCCTTTTCTACCACGCCTTCTGCTAATTTTACAGAGACGTTGTTTTGTATTTTATTATTTGTTTGTTTTACTATAAGGCCATATATTTTTTTACACTATTTTTGAAGATTTCCAACTTTATTTAACCTTTTTCAGAGATGGTTTTGTTTTTTAGCCAGTTCCCAAACTTGGGTGTGACGGGTGATTTTGCTGGCGTCGTCGCTGTTGCTGCGGAAAGGTTAACATTTCTATTATGGGGGGCACCACTCCCTTTTATAGAGTTTTTTTTTTGTGGCTTGACCACCATCAGAGAATAACAACAACAACAACAGCAACAACAGCAACAAGAGCCACAACTGGCAAACACTGCGGCGAAATATGCAAATTATTATGTTTGCATATCGCCGCCTTGCCGGGTTTCTTTTTTCTTTTTTCTTTTTTTTTTTTGCCAGCAATTTTCTGTGTGTTTGTGTGGCGCTTGCGGCTCTTTTTATTGGTCTCCACTACCTCTTCGCTATATATTTCGATTCTTCTGCAGCTTCCTCCTCGTCGATTTTCACTCGCATTTATGTCTTAATACAATTTGCCGAGATTTGCTAGGAATGCAATCCATGGACTAATACTACTACTACAACTACTACCTGATGATAGTTGATGGATTATACCATTCCCTGGCATCCTCGCCCCGACTTTTCAACATTGTGATTAGCTTTTTTGTCCGTCAATTTCGCATAATGTGTGCAAATTTATATTATTAGCCCTGATGGATTATCGTTATCGATTGCTTTTCCCTGCCAATAATTGTGTGTGTGGGCAATTTAATTTTATTGATTTTTCCGATGACAGGCAGAGGATCGCTAAACTATGATTATCGATGGATTATGGCTGGATAACATCTATTAAAGTACATTTAATTAATAAATAAATACAAGACGCACATGTGCATTTGGAATTGGATAATTAAACACTTAATGATGCTTCAAGATTTCCTTTTATTTATTCCTTTTTCCCCTCACCCTCACTCATGTGCATTTTATATTTATTATAATATTAATAGCAATTATGCCGCATCATCTGCTTGCCATTTCTGAAGCTGCTCAAAGCATTTCAGAAACTGATTAATGGCCAAGACCCGGTAGACAAGTAGCCATAGAAGGGGGGAAAAAAAAGAATGAGAAAAGGCAAACAAATTTTATTTCAAAATATGGCATTTCTAATTTAACAACTGCGCTTCAAAAATTGCGTTTTTTTATACCCGACACTGCCGTCTTTCTTTCGCATGCCTGCCATTTAATTATTTTCTTAGAGCTCATTTTATGGTGACTAGAGGGGCTGAGGGGTGGTGACGGTATGATGGAGTGTGTGTGGCGGGCAAAGGGGCTTGGCCGAGGGGCGGGGGAGCGGGAGTGGAGCGGCGCAGACGGCAGCAGCAACACATCACACGTTGACCTTGATATTCGCATTCGCAGCGGAACCGCACAACTTGCACAGCTAACGAACATACATAGCTACAGCAGGGGTGGAAATTAAAAAACCAATTGAAGGTATATTTCCTTGTGCAAAATAGTTTCAGTTTTCCTAAAATAGTGGACAAATTTAACCAGCTTAATACAATATCCGTTCATTTACTGCGTATGTAAAAATTAACCGAAAATACAACACTGCCAATGATGCCAATGCGTTAAATGCAATTATACCAATGCATACAATCACTGTCAATGATGCCAATTTTTTGTTAAAATAACTAACAAAAAGTCGGAAATTGAAAGAAAAGAAATCCTATTCGATTGACCCCAATTGTTAACACATGTGCAAAGCATTAAGCAGAATCGTTAAGAAGAAGAGCAGTGGGGAAAGGGCGAGAAGGAAGAAAAAACTGAGAGAGAGAGAGACGCACGCAACGCAGCTTTCAAAGCTTTGCAGTAGTTTTTGTTTTTGCCATTTGATTGCACGAGGAAGGAGAGAGCGAGAGGCATGGCCAACGATCGTGGGTGCTAGAGCGGGACGGAATGGGCGATAAGCATTCACGGACTGCGAATTGCAAAAACGCAAGGGAACTCTTGAGTATAAATAAATAAATAATGCGAACGGGCGGCAGACACCTACACACAATATGAAAATAAATAATTTCAAAAATTATCTCATCAAAGTAAGCCGCTATCGCCGTCTCTTTCCAATTGCGTCTGCAGTTGGGTGCGTTAATTTCCGGCTATTTCTGTCTCCCTCACTCTCATAAATCTTTCGTGATGTTAAATAAATTAAATATATTGCTTCGGTTTCGACTGCTTCAAATTTGTTCTCCATCTTCATTCTCGGTTTTCTGTTCGAATGAGTGATTGCATAGACGAAGACAAAGACAAAGAGAGTGAGGAGGATGAAGAGGGAGCGAGACGTCGCTAATGCGTTGACGTTGACCTTGGACATTAAGTCCAAACATATTTTGCGAACAGTAGAACAAAAAAAAAAGATGTCAGAGGC